AGAGAGAGAGAGAGAGAGAGAGAGAGAGAGAGAGAGAAGGAAGAAAGAAAAAACTCCTTTAGAATTCAGACTATTGAAGATTCAGGTTTTCCTAATCCCAGTTTTCTTGGAATGCAAGAAAGCCCTAGTTATTTTGTAGTATTCTATTTTAGTCATTCTTGTTTCCATGAAATATGAAGCACTTTTCAAACAGAATAGTTTGTAGTATTATTCATTACCAATTCACATCAGGTTGAGGTTATTATTTTTTTTTTTTGCTATCCCAGCTAAAGAAATTTCAAGAAGAGATAAAGTTTGGATCTGTTTCAAGATTCTTATTTTAAAAGGGAGGTATTTTTCAAGACCAGGTTCTCTATTCCATATGATAGAATAAATCCAACAGATATTTATTAGATACCTACTAAGTTCATGAGGCGGCCAGGTGGCACAGTGGATGCAGTGCTGGATCTTCCCAACTTCATATCTGACCTCAGACACTTACTGTGTGTCCCTGGGCAAGTCACTTTACCATGTTTGCCTCAGTTTTTTCCTCTGGAAAATAAACTGAAGAAGGAAATGGCAAACAACTCCATTATCTTTGCCAGGAAAACCCCAAATGGGATCATGAAGAGTTGGACATAACTGAAACAATTGAACGATTAAAAAAAAATGCATGGTTTAGTTTGAGATGCTTTAGATATAAAGATTAGTTGACATACATTTCCTGCCTTCAAGACATTACAAGAATCCCCCAAAGGAGACAATACATATAAAGCATTTTACAAAACAAAATACTATATCATCATCATTATTATAAGCTCAGCTTATTTGCTTTCACTTGCAGGAAGATTTTTTTCTTACTCCTGATTATTAGTGCCACCTTATTTCTTAGATTATTAGATAGATAAATAAATAGATCAGATATATAGATTTACCTGTTTATATTTTATGTACCCATTCCCCACCTCCAGCAGAATGTAATCTCCTTGATATCAGGGACTGGTGTTTGTTTCATTTTTATATTCCTGGCACCTGGAACAATGCCTTGCAGATGGTATTAACAATAAATACTGATTTGTTTATATTATTAAAACAGATAACAGCAATTCAAATATAAATTAGAATAAAATGCATAGAAATCCAACACACACACATATACCTGTATATATAAGTTAATATATATTCAATATTTTGTATATATATATATGTATATGTATATCCATAAAGTCTTAAAATCATAGTTTTGAGAAATCATGAAAACATGTGCCAAATTGAGAAAAGACAGACTTTTTATTTCTGTATTATGACTTTCATTCCATACTTAATCCTAAATTTCTTCAGTCATTCTATTCCTTTTCATTTTTATGTTAAGGCAAGAAGTGTCCTTGGCCTTTTAGAAGGTTAGTTATTATACCTGTGCTCTTGATAATATCCTTCTGACAACTTCTGCCCCTCACTACATTTGTTGGCATTCTTTCTCAGTTACCTTTAATCACTTCCTCTTCACTGATTCCTTCTTCCTAAACTCTGGCCTCCCCCATTTTAAGAAAACTTGCCCTTAATATATCATCTGGCTACCATGCAATTTCTCTTCTCCCTTTCATAGCCAAACTTTTCTGAAAATATTTATGCAACCCGCTGCTTCTCCTTTCTCATTATTCCTTAGATCTCTATAATCTGGTTTCCTTTTTCCAGCATTCTACTAACACTATCTTCAAGCAAACACTGTGACTTCTTTTTCATCAAATCCAATAGAATTGTCTCTGTCTTCATCTTCCCTGACTCTTTCACAGCATTTGATACTATTGACTGATTTTCAAATTCTCAACACATAGTACCTAATATATGCTTAATTGGTTGATTGATTCTGAGGCACAGTTTCCTCTGCTTTGTCTCATTTTCTCTGTATTCTTTACTAGCTATTCCTCCTTTCCCCACTCCCCAAAGTTCACATTCCTCAGGATCCAATCCTTCATGTCTTTCTGGAAATAGCTGGTGGTGCAATAGACATAATTCTGAGCATGGAGTTAGGAAGATGAGTTCAAAATCAGCCGCAGACAATAATGAGCTGTGTGATACTGGGCAAGTCACTTAATGGCTTTTTGCCCCAGTTTCCTAAAACATAAAATGTAGATAATAATAGCACCTACCTCACAAAGTGGTTGTGAGAATGAAATGAGATAATATTTGTTTAAAAAACAATAGCACTTAGCACAGTGACTGGCACATAATGGGTGCTATATAAATGTTTATTCCCCTTTCCTTTCTAAATAAACTCTCTCCTCTAGTAATCCCATTCAATTCCATAACTATAGCTATTGACTCATTCCTTCTGGATGAGGCTTAAATCTATAGCTACAGCCCTGCCTGACTTTTTTTTTGCCATGCTCCAATACCACAGAACAAACTGCCAACTACATATCCGCCCCTATACCTAGATATCTAAGTAGCACTAAAAATTCAACAATACCAGAATGAAATGTATTATCTTTTCTTTTTTCTTTAATTCCTTAGTATTGTCTCCCAGTTATATGTAAAAACAATTTTTAACATGCACTTTTCAAATTTTGAGTATGAAATTATGTCCCCAACTCCCCTCTCCCCCACATGGAGAAGGCACGTTATTTGGTACAGTTATACATGTGTAGTCATGTAAAACATTTCCATAGTTGTTATGTTGTGAAAGAAAACAGATCTTGCCCTGCCCCCCCCCAAAAAAACAATTCTCATGAAAAATAAAGTAAGGAAAGTATGCTTCAATCTGTATTCAGATTCAGTACATAAATTCTTTCTCTAGAGATGGATAGCATTTTTCACCATAAGTTCTTCAGAGTTGTCTTGGATCATTGTATTGCTGAAAACAGCTAGATCATTCACAGCTGATCATTTTATAGTATGTTTCACTTTGCATTAACTCACATAGGTCCAGGTTTTTCTGAGAGCTTCTTGCTCATCATTTCTTATAGCACAATAGTATCCTATCATAATCACATACCACAATTGGTTCAGCCATTCCCCAATTGATGTATATCCCCTCAATTTCCCATTCTTTGTCCCCAGAAAAGAGCTGCTATAAATAATTTTGTACATATAGGTAATATAGGTACTTTCTGTTGTTTGTTTTTTTTGTTTGTTTGTTTGTTTTTTATTTCTTTTTGGGATACAGACCTAGTAGTGGTATTGCTAGGTCAAAGGATATGCAGGGTTTTGTAGCCCTTTAGGCATAATTCCAAATTGCTTTACAGAATGGTTGAATCAGTTCACAACTCTACCAACAGTATATTAATGTCTCATTTTTTCCCACATCCCCTCCAACATTTGTCATTTTCCTTTTCTATCCTATTAGTCATTCTAGTAGGTATGAGATAATACCTCAGGATTGTTTTAATATGCATTTCTCCAATCAATAGTTAGTTAGAACATTTTTTTTCATATGGCTACAGTTAGCTTTGATTACTTCATCTGAAAACTGTTCAAATCTTTTGATCATTTATCAGTTGGGGAATGGCTCTTATTTTTTATGAATTTCAGTCAGTTCTCTATATGTTTAAGAAATGAGGACTTTATCAGAGAAACTTGCTTCATTTTTTTCACAATTACTATTGCTAACTGTATTTCCCTCCTTCTTATGTGCCCCCCTTTTATTCTATTCTCTCTTTTCACCCTGTCCCTCCTCAAAAGTGCTTTGCTTCTGATTACCTCTTTCTCCAATCTGCCCTCCCTTCTATCACCCCCACTTCTCTTCTCTTTCCTGTAGGGTAAGATAGATTTCTATACCCAATTAAGTGTGCATGTTAATCCCTCTTTGAGCCAGTTCTGATGAGGGTAAGGTTCACTCATTCCTGCTTACCTCCTGCCTCTTCCCTTCCAGTATAAAAACTTTTTCTTGCCTCTTCTTTGTGAGATAATTTACCCCATTCTACTTCTCCCTTTCCCTTTCTCCCAGCACATTCCTCTCTCATCCCTTAATTTTTTTTTTAGATATTATCCCTTCATATTCAACTCACACATGTGCCCTATGTCTATATATACTCCTTCTAACTGCCCTAATAATGAGAAAGTTCTTTTCAGTTAAAAGTATCATCTTCCCATGTAAGAATGTAAACAGTTTAACCTTATGAAGTCCCTTATAATTTCCCTTTCTTGTTTATCTTTTTATGTTTCTCTTGAACCTTGTATTTGAAAGTCAAATTTTCTATTCAGGTCTGGTCTTTTCATCAAGAACACTTGAAAGACCTGTATTTCATTGGATTTTCATTTTTCCCCCTAAAGGATTATACTTAGTTTTGCTGGGTAGATGACTCTTGTTTGTAATGCTAGCTCCTTTGCCCTTCAGAATATCATATTCCAAGCCCTCCCATGCTTTAGTGTAGAAGCTGCTAAAGTTTGTGTTATCCTGACTGTGGCCCTACCTTACTTAAATTGTTTCATTCTGGCTGCTTGCAATATTCTCTCCTTCACCTGGGAGTTCTGGAATTTGACCATAATATTCCTAGGAGTTTTCATTTTAGGATCTCTTTCAGGAGGTGATTGGTGGATTCGTTCAATTTCTATTTTACTCCCTGGTTCTAGAATATCAGGGCAATTTTCCTTGATAATTCCTTGAAAGATGATGTCTAGGCCACTTTTTTTTATCATGACTTTCAGGTAGTCCAATAATCTTTGAATTATCTCTCCTGGATCTATTTTCCAGGTCAGTTGTTTTTCCAATGAGATATTTCACATTGTCTTCTATTTTTTCATTCTTTTGTTTTTGTTTTATTTTTTCTTGATTTATCATAAAATTATTAGCTTTCATTTGCTCCATTCTAATTTTTAAGGAAATATTTTCTTTAATGAGCTTTTGTATCTCCTTTTTCATTTATCCAATTCTATTTTTAAGGAGTTTTTTTTTTCTTCAATGAATTTTCATGCCTCTTTTTCTATTTGGCCAATTCTGCATTTTAAGGCATTCTTCTCCTCATTAGCTTACTGCACCTCTTTTACCATTTGGCCAAGCCTGCTTTTTAAGGTATTGTTTTCTTCAATTTTTTTTTTCTATCTACTTTACCAAGCAGTAGAATCATTTTTCATTATTTGCTTGCCCCACTCTCATTTTTCTCCCCAATTTTTCCTCTACCTCTCTAACCAGCCAAACTGGACCATTCACCATTACTCCACATCCCTCAAATTTCACTGTCTATGTGCCATTAATCACACTACTTCCTATGTGTAAATTACCCTACTAACTTTACCTGTTGAAATACTAACCTTCCTTTACTGTTGAGTTCAAATGTTTATCTTCTCCAAAAAAGTATTCCTTGATTTTCCCCCCCTTTAATCAGTAATGATCTTTTAGTAATAATGTAATAATCATTTCCTTCTCAGACTGTTTATGTATGTATATATGTATGGAAGTATGTATATATGTATATGTATACATCCACACATAGATACATATACACCTATTCAGACTATTGTATATAATATATATCATAAACATATATGCATACATTCATACATACATATAAATACACACCTCATACCTTTTGAAGAGTGGCACATGGGCAGGAAGGAATAGATTTTTTATTTCATTGCATGAGGAAATTTTAAGCAATAAAATTCCCTCTACCAACAAATATCTGTAATTTATAGTCTTAGGAGATTGCCTGGGGACACTGAGAGGTAATGTGATTTTCCAGGTTCATAGTCAATACTTACACCTAGGTCTTCCTGACTCCTAACCTAACTCTCCACTCTACAATAGTGACTTTAATATGGCCTTGGTACATTTTATTTTGTATTATATGTGTGTTTATGTGTGATATTTTCCACCTGGATTGTAAGCTCCACGAGGCCATAAGTTCTGCCTTCTTCAGTTTCCTTTATTTCTTCAGAACCCAGCTTAAGGATGCATATATGGTAATCATGTAATTGATCCTTATTAAATTGGGCCTTGCTTGAGAGAAATACTTCCCATTCAATTGTTTCCCTCATCTTTTCATACAAAGCACACACCTTCTCCCCCTGCCCTGCCCTCAAGATGCTATTTAACAGAAGTCCATTTCTTATATGGCATAACCAGCCCATGTTTTCCAATTTAACTCCACACACATACCTTGGCTTATGATTAATTAATATATTCTCCAGTTTTTATCAGGCCAAAGAGAAATTTAAAAAAGAGCTGAAGAATGAAGAGTGTCTGTACAGTGACTTGTCTGTACTAGCTTCTGACTTGCCATATTTTCCACCAGAGGAAGAGGAGGACAACGTGGAAGATGGGATTCATCTGGTTATCTGTGTCCATGGGCTGGATGGTAAGGTCTAAAGAAAAAGCCTTGTCATGGTTCTTAATGACCACAATCCAGATTAAGGTAGAGATTTACAATTTATAAAGCATTTTCCTCAAAACTACCCCATAAACTAGATAAAATGAGTAGTATTTATTAGTAATATTTTACAAGGGAGGAAACTGTGGCCCTCAGAGGCAAGGCGTTTGTCCTAGGTCACACAGCTAATTAGTGTCAAGAGTTAGGACTGGCTTTCTTCTCCACCCCTAGAGTTCTTTCCATGATCCAATACTGCTTCCTGCCTTTGGTACTATAGACACCCAAGGACACGAATATGAAGTCAACTCCAATCATGAAAACCAGAGCTTAGCAAACAGGCAAAGTATCAACTGATGATCTGCTTGAGAAAAGCTCTCTTCATTTCAGAAAAGGAACATCCAAGGATAATTTTTCCTGGTTAACTTAATGATTTTTATATCATTATATCACCTTTATAACGTGGCTTTGGCAAAATCATACTGTTTCTCTGGGCTTCATTTTACTTGGTTGTAAAATTAGAGTCTGGAACTCCTTATCTCCTGTTCTCCCTTTCTCTGTCTCCTGCATCTGTTTCTCTCTTTCTTTGTCTCCTCCTCTATGTTGCCCCCTCCCTTCTTCTCCCCACCAATCCCTTCCTCTCCCTTCTCCTCTCCTGTCCTTTCTTCTCCTCTCATCTCTTCTCCCCTCATATGCATCTCTCTCTCTCTCTCTCTCAGTCTCTTTGTCTCTGTTTCACTGTTTCTCTGTCTCTGACTTTGTCTCTCTCTCTCTCTGTCTCCTTCTCTCTCTGTCTCTCTATATCTGTCACTCTCTTCTCTATCTCTCTGTCTCTATCTGTGTGTGTGTGTGTGTGTGTGTGTGTGTGTGTGTGTGTGTGTCCCTCTCTCCGTCCTCTCATTTCTCTGCTGTATTCTCTTTCTCTTTTTAGAGACTGGGGCACCCTATTTTACTCAGATTGGAAGTAGAGAGACTACTCTCAGAGCCAGTCCCACTCTGATAAGCATTGGAACTTGGCCCTATTCAGTTTCAATCCTGGGCTTCTTTGCCTCTCTTTAGGCAACCAGGCGGGCTACTACCACTCTCTCCCCTCCTGGAGAATCACCATATTAATACTAAACTTTTTTGCAGACACTAGATCAGCATAGCCCTACTGCAGTAAAGAACTCTAGGTCTTGAGATCCCCCAGTCTTAGCATCCACAGTAATAGCGATTATAGATATGTACCACAAAAACCAATGGAACCTGTCAAGTTATAAAATTCTATAAATGTTCTGGGGCATTTTCAATGATCTCTTCAAAGCCTGGGAACAGACAAAAATTAAGCTCAAATCAAATACAGAAATATTCAGTTCTGAAGCTTCAGTTTCCAAATCTGTAAATAGTGATAATACTTGCACTAAGGTGGAAACTGGGGTGCTGAGGGAAAAAAATACTTTGTGAACTGCAAAGGGCCAAAGGGATATGACCTGCTGCTGCTTAGAATTGGAAGTGGACAGGAAGAGACAATGAATCACACAGTTCTCTATGTCAGACAGCAAAATACCCCATTGGCCCAGAACAGCTGAGAGGAAAAAAAATAATAATTTCTAGCATTTTATAGCACTTTGCACATTCCTATTCAGCAAAGATATTAAATACTTTTAATATGTTTGAGGGAGATAATAAAGAAAAATAGTGTCAGGGGACTAGGAGGAGGTAGTGAGGCAGAATATGAGAACATTCTTAAATACATGTTTTTTCTGCATATCCATTTTTCAGATGCCTTATGTGTTTAATGAATAGTCTCTTTTTTTAAAATTTAAAATTAAAGAACAATAAAGAAAAACAACTTGCTTTTCTTCTTTTGAAATTTATTTATGGGATCTGGGGGCATATATCCTTTCCAGGTAACAGCGCAGACCTCCGCCTGGTAAAGACATTTATTGAACTGGGCCTTCCTGGAGGAAAATTGGACTTCTTGATGTCTGAGAGGAATCAGGTAGGATGGTCAGAGTGATAAGATGATGAAGAGAATGGTTAGTCAGCCGTTCAGTCAGGCAGCAAGAGTTTGTTAAGAGGTTACTTTTCTCAGGCACCATGCTAAGTCCTGGGGGTACAAAGAAAGACAAAAATAAATCCCAGCTCTCAAGAAGCTCAGTGTCTGATGGGGGAGGCAACATGCAAACAAATGTATATAAACAAAATATGGACTGGGTAAATTGGAGATAACATAAGCAATTTACAACTAACATTTCTATAGCATTTTAAGATAGAGGAACTTTATATTTTCCTTTGGGTCAGTCTTGAGAGAAAGGTAGTACAAATATTATTCTGCCCATTTTATAAATTAGGAATGTCAAGGACCTGCGACTTTTGCTACAGCCATGGGCCAGATATGGATATGGAATCTTTCATTAGTAGTATATTCAAAGGAAGCACCAGATAGCTGAACATATCAGTCAGTACCATTCATTAAGTTCCTGTTATTTACCAGGCACTGTGCCAAGCACTTGGAGATACAAAGAAAATGGAAGTCAGTCCCTTTTCTAAAGACTCTCACAGTCTAATGGGAGAGATAATAGGCAAAAAACTACACATAAACATGCTATATACAGCATAAATGGGAAATAACCCCCGGAAGGAAGACACTAGAATTAAGAGAGATAATTAATGTGGTAACTTGTGCATCACAGGCTAATTCCCTTGTTCTTGTGGATGTGTTGGGTCCCTGTACTGACTACATCTGCAGAACTGGGTAGACATGTCAGGTGGCAACCCCCCAGTGGCCATTGTCTTCTATTTTTTCATTCTTTTGGTTTTGTTTTATTGTTTCTTGATTTCTCATAAAGTCATTGACTTCCATTTGTTCAATTCTAATTTTTTAAGGACCATGCCTTAAACCCAATTCACTCTGGCTCTCATTGATTGACTAACAATAGGTCCCAGTCCAAGCTCCACTTAGTTGGCCCTCATACCTCAGAGCGAATGTAAACAGTAATTGTTTCTGTTTTGTCCAGAAACTCTGAGGGTCTTCCCCTCCCAGATTGATTTTTTTTATTAGGTAAAAAGGGGCTCATTTCTTAGCTAGCCTTAATCACTGAATGGGCATTACCTCAGTCAAAATGAAAACTCAGAAAGACCTTAGCTTTAAAAAGCTAAGGTCTCCCACTGCATCCAGGGCCATCTCCAGTCATCCTGATCTATGTCTTGCCACTGAACCCAGATGGCTCCAGAAGAGAATGTGAGGCTGGGGACTTTGCACAGCCCTCTCTCACTTACATCCAATTCACTTGCAAGTCAAGGCATCACCTTGTAGAGGACATGGTCCTCTTTAAGAATGAAGGACAAACAACAACAACAATTAAGTGCCTATTATGTGCCAGGCACTGTCCAAAGCTCTGGGAAAATGAAGGGTAGAAGACAATTCTTGCCTTCAAGGAGCTCAGAGTCTAATGGAGATAACATGGTAACAACTATGTAACAAACAGACAATGAACAGGATAAACAAAATAGCCAACAGATGAAAGACACAGGAATTAACAGAGATGAAAAAAAGTTTCCTATAGAAGGCAGGATTTTAGCTAGTACTTAAACAAAGCAAGGAAAATGAGGAAGCAGAGACAAATCAATCAAAAAACATTTATTAAGTACCTACTATGTTCCAGGCACTTTACTGATTGCTGGGGATACAAAAAGAGGCAAAAGACAGACTCTGCCCTCAAGGAGCTTACAATCTAACAATCTAATGGGGAAGACAACATGCCAACAAATATATGCAAAGCAAACTATATAAGGGATAAATAGGAAATAATTACAAGAGGGAAGGCACTGGAATTAAAAGAGAGGTGGGAGAGCATTCCATCCTTGAGGGACAGTCATTGAAAATGCCCAGAGCTAAAAGATGGAATGTCTTGTTCAAAGAACAGCAAGAAAGCCAGTGTCATTGGACTGCAGTGTGTGTGTGTGTGTGTGTGTGTGTGTGTATCGGGGGCTGGAGCAGGGGGTAGTGATATAAGGTGTAAGAAGATAGTAAAGGCAGGAATTAAAGCTAAATATTGCTATTTCCTTCAATTCTTAAATGTCATGAACTACAGATTCATCGCCATTATACTTATTGATAAATGAGAAGATGACCTATGAGCACTAGCTGATGGGACATTGGATTTCTAGCCTGGAGGATAGACCTAGGGGAAAACACGGGTAGGGTCATGATCATTCTCTTTACATACATGCAGGGCTGTAATGTGGAAAAAGACTAGACTATTTTCTGCTTGGCGTGAGAGTACAGAACCAGCAGCAGTAGAAAAGAGGGGCAAAAAGTCAAATCTGGTCTTGATGCAGGAGGAAAATAACAAATAGAGTGGGCTATTTAGGAAGGTAATGTGTTCCCCCTGACTGGAGAGCTTCAAATAGAATCTGGGTGACCACTTGAGGAGGGTTTTTGTTCAGTTATGGTTTGGACCCCACCTTGAGGCCCCTTCCAACTCTGAGATTCTGTGATTCTATTATCCCACAGCAGAAACCTTATAAATTACATCTGCCTCCTGCATCTATTCATCTTGAAGAGTGCTGAGTGAATCGTCCCTAGTGGGGAATCCTTTGAGTGGGCCGACATTAGCAAGGCATGTTGACTCACGAAAGCATTCATTGCTAGAGGTATATTTTCCAACAGTGTCTGCATCCGTACTTGATGATAATTTCTCGCATATCTACTTAGGTTGGAAATTGATTCTGATTCCCATTGGAGCAACAAACCCACATCTTTAAACAAGATGATTAACTGGGGATTCTAGAAGTTAAACACTTATTTCATTCTGCCACTAATGTCAGTAATTTTGTGTAAGCTTTAAAAAAAATGTTGTAATACCTTGGTGTGGAAAGAGCAATGGATTTACAATCAGATGACTTGGGCTCAAATCTGGGTCCCTCTCTTGTCTGCCTATATGATCTTGGGCAAATTATGTTTCCTTACTGTAATATGGGGGGGGGCTGCATTAAATGATCAGAGAATCACAGAACCTCAGGAAGGAACCATAGAATCTCCTTACCTGCTTCTCACATGCAAACATGAACTCTTCTATATAATGTCCAACTAGTATTTACTTGAAGACATCTAGTGAGGCAGAGCCACAAACTACTAGGTAATCCCATTTTTGGATAGCATATAAATTATGTAGTATATATACATACATATATATGTGTGTGCATGTGTGTATGTGTATTTTTTTTAATATCACTGTTGTTTTGCACTGACTCCTCCCCCTAACTCCCGTATAACCCAACCGTTGCACAAAACAAGGATAATTAAGCAAAACAAAGGAGTACATTGGTCATGTCTGAATATATATGCCCAATTCTACACTTCTATTCCATCACTTCACATTCAATTGGTCTCATTTTCATGGCCTCCTCTGTTTTCCAATTTTTCTCCCCAGTCATGTAGAATGCAGAGACAGGAAATGTGTGTATATCTATATATACACATGCATTCATATGTACTTATATATAAAAAAGAAACACACAAAACATATATACATGTGTCTATACGTACACATATACATTTATACATAAAAAGGAAACATAAAATATACATCTATATACACATGTGTATGTATAGACACATGTATGTACACACGCATATCCCCCCTGCCTGCACCTTAAATCAAGCCTATATTTGAGCCTTTGTAACTTCTAATTATGACTTTTTATTTGGCCCTTTCAATCCAAGAACAAGTTTAATCTTGCTTTCAATGGACAGCCCCTCAAATACTTGGAAGAATGTCTCGTATCTCTCATACCGCACCCCATCTCTTCTCTAGTAAAATACTTCCAGTCTACTCATACTCCTATGAGGCAGAGAATATAAATATAATTATTCCCACTTTCCTATTTTAGAGATGAAGTGCCTGAGTCTCACAGACGTGGCGTTACTTGGCCAGGATCATAAAGTGGTAGTAAGTGGTAGACGAGTAGCTTTATCTATATTTTCCTACTTCTATTCTAGAACCCTATCCACAGTACACCATGATGTGATTGGGCAATCGCAAAAGAAATTTATGGTCTGGGGTCATGGTTCATTGTTGTAACTTCATAAGTCCCTTCTGTGCTTTCTCTTCTTTCAGAGTGACACTTTTGCTGACTTTGACACAATGACAGACCGATTGCTAGATGAGATCATTCAGCATATCCAGTTGTATAATCTGTCCATTTCTCGAATCAGGTAAAAACACACTCCAGGTGAAGAAGTAAGGAAAAGATGACTTAGATAATATTTATTTATCACTGTTTGTTGGATAGCCTGAGAGGACTGATACTGAAATGCATATTTATTGAACAAGATTCATTTCAACATTGACTAAACATCTACTATGTTCATGGCACTGTGATAGGTGCTACGCATACATGAGTATCCAGATCTAAGGAGATCACAGTCTAATGAAGTCATTTCCTTTGGTTTTTCCAAACAGCTTTATTGGCCATTCCCTTGGCAACATCATCATCCGATCAGTATTGACTCGGCCTCGTTTTCGGTATTACCTCAACAAGCTACATACCTTTCTTTCTCTCTCTGGGCCGCACTTGGGGACACTGTACAACAATAGTACTCTTGTTAGTACAGGTAAACCTTTACTTAGCCATATCCCTTTTCAATTCAGTACTGACTCCATCCCCTATCTGTTAGGGCCTGCCAATTCTCTTATTCCCTTGAAGTAGACTTCACAAGCACACAATTACTTCCATGTGCCATGATGAGATATTAGAGGAAGACTTGGACTCAGGTAGTCTGGATTAATTTCCTGCCTAGAAATCTTAATAAACAAACAAATATGTAAATAAATAAATAAAATAATAGATGTCATTTACACAGGCCTTTAAGGTTTGCAAAGCACTTTACAAATATTATCTTATTTGATCTTCACAATAACCTTGGAGGTAGGTGCTATTATTATCTCCATTTTATAGATGAAAGAATAAGCTGCATAACCATGGACAATTACTTAAAACTGCCCCACACCCTGTCTCTCCCCCCAATTTCTTCATCTATAAAATGGATATGATAATATGTGTACTACTTACCATTCATGATTGTTGCTTGGAAGGGGCTTTGAAATTCTTAAAAAAAAAATGTTATAGATGTATGAAGGTGTTGCCCCTTTTCTCACAACTGCTCTAATAACTAGCATTTATATAATACTATAATGTCTGCAAAATGTTTTTGCATATTTTTTCCTTTGATTTTTATCACATTTGCTATCTTATTTGAGCCCTGTAAGAGGATATTGCAGTTTCACATCTATGTAAATCAAACTCTTGAGAGGTTAGAAGATTTGGCCAAGAATGGGGAGGGCTCAGTGGTATAGTAGATAGTGATTTGAACTGGGAGCCAGAAAACCGGAGTTCAAAGCCTGCCTCAGACATTTATTAGCAAATTCAAAGTCAAAAGAACACTAGTTCCACAATCAGAGTTGGTATAAAGATCTTAGCTTTGAAACTTATTACTCCTTTGTCCTTACATATCCCTGTACTTAACCACTCTGTACTTCAACTTCCTCATCTTTAGAAAGAGAAGGTTGGACTGAATGAGTCCCTTCTAACTCTAGATTTATGAAGCTAGTAAGCTTTCCATTTGCCTTTTACTCCTGCAAAGCAAAATAATGACCTCTGAACATAAGGGGCATTTCCAGTGTCCCTCACCCCTTATGTTATGGGTAAGACCATAGAGAATGCAAAGAAATGAATTCTTGATCCTGTTTCTGTTTTACTAGGTTTGTGGCTAATGCAAAAGCTGAAGAAATCTGGGTCCCTTTTACAGCTGACCTTCAGAGACAACACAGATTTGCGCAAATGTTTCCTGTACCAACTGAGTCAAAAGACAGGTGGGCTGCTTTGTTATATATGTCTGAGGAGGAGAATTAGAAGGAAGCTGAGGCCATGGAAGTGAAACCAAATGAAACATGCCACTTGCTTCTCATTAAAAAAAGAATGGAATAGATGTGTGGAGATTCACACATGACCGATGTGCTCATTTGTTTTGCTAGATCATCCTTGTTTCTTGTAAGGGGCAGGATATGAGGCAGTAAGAGAGAAAAGTCAATGCAAAAAGGTAGTGATATTAAAAAAAGAAAAATAATAATAATAACATATAAAACAAGAAAAAGTAAATAAGAAGTGGTCCTAATGGTTCAATGGATTAAAAAAAGGAATGAATGAAAAAGCATTTAATAAGCCCTATGTAATAGGGAAAAGGAACAAGAATTTATTAAGTGCCTGCTATGTTTTAGACATTGTGCTAAACACTCTACAAATATCTCATTTAACAAGTACTTGCTAAATATTAATGATAAAAATAAAGGAGAGAGACCCTCAAGAAGTTTATTTTCCAATAGAGTGAGACACACATACAGGGGTGTGGTAGACAGGGGAAACAAGTGCTAAACTAATGTTTAGATTTGAGAAGTCCCAAGGGTGGTGAGTAGAGCCATAGGGGAATTTCTTGACATGTCATTTGCAGTAACAGTGGCAATATTAAATTAATTACATTTCCAGAGCTAGAAAGTGTATATGTGTTGGGGTCAGGATATAGGGTCCATGTATGGTGACAAGTAAGAATGCAGGAAGAAGATGGCTGGACTAGAATGCAAAGCAAGGCTGTAGATAGCAAGGTCTCCAGATGGAAAGTTCCATAGTTGAGATGTTTTAAGTCCCAATTCATGAGGTCTCTGGTTCAGAGAATATAGTGGCATACAAGAGTAGTTTGCAAAGAGATAGCTATAATGGAAATGTCCAGGATTGAAATCATCTTCTTATAAATAGAATAACAGAAAAAATTAACTACCATCTAACATTAAGTCCTCCATGAAGTCTTCCTTGATTCTACTTCTCAGTAATCATAGACCCCAGACCTCACAAAATATATGGTTGTGCTGTACCTCTCTAAAGGTATGTTTTATTTTGTTATTTTTTTTTATCAAGTTTTATTTTATATGAGGCAGCTAGGCGGCTCAATGGATAGAATTCTGGTCCTAGAGTCAGGAAGCCCTGAGTTCAAATCTGGCCTTAGACACTTTCTACCTGTGTGACCCTGTACAAGTCTTTTAATCTCTGTCTTAGTTTCCTCATCTGTAAAATGGGGATAATAATAGCACCAACCTTCCAGGGTTATTGTAAGTTATCAAATGAGGTTTTATAAATAGCACTCATTACCATGCCTGGCCAATAGGAGGTGCTATATAAATGCTAACTATTAGTATTAGTTTTAGCATTAGGTACACGCAGTTATTTACATCAGTATCTTTATTCCTGTACTGCCTTTAAACTAACATGATAATGAACACAACTTAGTAGTAGTATCTCACCTGGTACTTGAAACAACATATACTATTCAATAGACATTCAATAGATACTTTTGAAATTGAATTCGGTCCCTTGGGTCATATCCTAGCATAATATACAAGCCAACACTCTAGAAAAACATGCTTTCCAAAGGTGTAATGGGAACGGGAGTTCTGAAAGACACAAGAGGTGTTGTTCTCCCTCCCTTCTCTTTTGCCATGGGAAAATAAGAAGCCTCTTCAGGGAGGGTAGGGTGTGAGGATGCAAAATAAGCCCTCATATTTGAGAACTGCTTCTATGATAGTGGACACCTCCAACCCTTCAGGCTTCTGAGTACCTTCCCCCTCACTATACTATGAATAACTCAGGGAACAGTGAGGACTTTTTTCTCTAAAGTCCAAACCCCTTAAATATGGTAATAACATCACATAAATTCCCCAGGTTATGATTCTGCCATTGTCATGGTGTGGAGGCATCAGATTCTTAGACGAACAAAAAACATTTAATAATGCCTACTCTGTCTTTATAATCCAGAAAATGAATAGTATATGAATTTTTTATTCCTTCCTTATAAAAAAGAAAGCATATTTTCTCCCCTTTGTTCTAGGCCTTCAGTACTTTAAAAATGTTGTGTTGGTTGCTTCTCCTCAAGATCGGTACGTGCCATTTCATTCAGCAAGGATTGAAATGTGTAAAATGGCCCTCAAGGACAGGCATACAGGTAGGTTATGTCCTACAATATTGTCAGGCCTTGCTTGTTTTGAGTGCAGGAGTATGTTAAATAAAAATGATTCCAGTTGCTTGCCCTGGAACCTCCAGCTGACGACATAAGCAAAGCCTTATTATATGAGATAATAAACGATGAACTTTTGCAACAGATATGTAAAACAGGCAGCTTTATCCACTAATGCTCATAGTTTTTTATTTGCTTAAAAAAGTAGCATTTAGCATTTATATTAATTATGGAATTCCAAAAATCTCAAGAGGATCAGGTTGGTAGATGGGTCAAAGAACAGTGGAAAACTATATGAGGATAGTTTAATCTGCCACAAACAATATTACATCAGTCATAGAAGGAAGCATTTATTAAGTGCATACTGTGAGTTAAGCACTGTGCCAGGCACTGGGATTCAAACACAAAGAATGCACAATCCCTATTTGCAATGAGCTAATTTTCTAATATTGACTTGCATCTAAGACATATAAGCACAGAAGAAAAAAAGTAGCCAACCATGCAGTAAGAAAAAATAACTAATGAGCAAGCTGAGTGTTATCCGGATATCCACAAAAAAGTGGGAGAACCAAGAAAAGACCTTAGTCATGTTGGATTAAAGGCTCTTAGACAAGAATCTTGTGGAATGAGCAAATATGAAGGAATTACAGCTATTAGTTAGATTATGGGTCCATTTGAGTGTTGAAGTATAGATAAGGGATCATAAGGTTATATAATATAATCCCTTCATTTTACAGATGACAAAATCATGGGCCCAGGAAATCTAGTGGCATATTTTAAGTTATAAGGTTAATTAGATGAAGAGCTGGGATTTGAACTCAAGTTCTCTAATTTCAAGTTCAGTGTATTTCCACTACATTAGGTTATCTCTCAGTGAGATGCCTCTTCAGCAGTAATATAGAATTTTGCTATATGAACTCCTTTCTTCAGAAATGACAAATGGACCAGTGGACCAAAATCCTCTGTTTCAAACTGATACTCCTTACTATTTTGAATCTGGCCATTGACTTGTTCCATCATAACTTTTAAAGCAGCCTAGTATAATTCTAGACACTTAGTAGATGCTTCATGAGTGCTTGGTTGGTTTATAGATTGATTGAAGGAGTGGGCCCATTGTGTCGGAATTCAATGTGTCTGTGGTGCTGGAATAAGAACACTCCATATTTTTATACTGCTTCTTGATAATTTCATATCTATTTATCCATTTGATCCCACAAGAGAACCATTCTTAGTAGGGAAAGTATTATTCAAATGTATTTAGAATTTCATAAATGTGGATATTGCCTTTAGTAATACAGATTGCAGCCTATACATTCCTTGACATCCTGTGAATCTCTTGTCCATATTCACCTTTGATTTCATCACTGGTAGACCACCCAACATACTGGGGTTCTTCTATGCTTTCTTCTAAGTTCATGAAGATTGAACATGGGTCCCATACAGTAGTTATCCCTTTCCTTCTTGTCATGGGCACAATTCATCTTTTTTTTTTTTCTACTATTACATCTTTTTGATAACATCCTTCATTCCATTTCTCCTTCATCACCCTTTGATTAGTATGTGTTCCACCCTACTCAATCCTACCATCCATCTCTACATTGCCTTTCGTATGATTGTTGATTTCAGTTCTTCAGGAATCATGACATTCCATGACTTGCAGCCACACACCAATAAAAATAGAATATTGTACTAAAAAGATGGGTCTTTGTTTCAGGGAGAATCTTGAAGTTATTAAAAAGAATTTTGCAATTTCCAAAGGGAAATCAGGTCCAGGGAAAGTGTTCTTTTCATTTTATATATGTGGAAACTAAACTTTAGGGAGTTCTAGTGACTCAGCATCATTTAATTTTAGATTTAGATGTGGAAGAGTTCCAGTAGTTGGACCATCTATTTTAACCACACATTTTACTGAACAGAAAGTGAGACTAAGGGGGGTTAAGAGGTGCTTCCTCTGTATCACATTGCCTCTTGAGCCAAGATCTCATAGCTAGCAGATGATTGAATTGGTACTTGAACACAGGTGTTGCAGCTCTAACATCAGGGCTTACCTCCTGAATCAAAGGCTGGCTGTCTATCTGCTATACTATATTGCCTCTTTTATTCTCTTATTCTTGGCTAAGGTTTTGTTATACCATGTCTGACTAGCTGTTCACTCTACCTTCTTAAAACATAATGACAGCCAATCGGATTCCCAATGGTTATCCCTTGTATTGCCCAGCTGTCAACAGAATCCGAAATATGTATAGAATTTAATAGGGATATGTAAAGTTGTGTGGTGTAGAAGGAGAAGCAGTAATCTTGAAGTAAAAATGCTTGGGTTCAAGTCCTGATTCCTGAGTTCAATAGCTATGTGAAGTTAAAAAAATGTCTTTACCTCTCTAAGCTTGAGCTTTCCTCATTTCTAAAATAATCACAACTCTACCATGCTACCTTCAAGGTAGGGTAGTTGTGAGTAATGTACTTTGTAAGAGAAGTGAGCAGAACTAGGAGAACATTATACACAGTAACAACAATATTGTAAGGATATTCAAAGGTGAAAGACTTACTTGCTCTGATGAATACAATGATCCACAACAATACCAAAGGAGTCATGATGAGAAATGCTATCCGCTCCAGAGAGAGAACTGATGCACTCTGAGCACAGATTGAAGCATATTATTTTTCTCCTTCAATGTGGCTAATGTGAAAATATTTTGGATGATTTCATATGTATCATATTTCTTGACATCTCTATGGGTGGCAGATGGGGCAGAAAGCAGGAGATATTTTGGAACTGAAAATAAAAATAAAAAAATTTAAAAATATTTAAAAAGAAACATGCTTTGTAGAACTTACAGTTCTAGAGCAAGGGATGTAAACTACAACTACATACATACATACATACATACATCCATACATACAATCTATATATTTGGTAACTATATTTTAATATGATTTCCTTTGTAATCCTGTATATTTCCTGGTGTGCTAAAAAAGAATCATTAAATAGGTGTGTAGGCCAAAGGGGTCCATTACACAAAAAGTTTTAGGGACCCTGTTCAAGAGTTACTGATTTCACCTATGTTAAAAGTTGACTGAAGCACTTTTAGTACAAGTAGAAAATTATTAAGCAGTTACTGCTATATTGTGAATGACCTCTTCTTCTACCCAATTTTCAGGTCCAGTTTATGTTGAGATGATCAACAACCTTCTCCAACCTCTGGTTGAGGCCAAGGATTGCACTGTAATTCGACACAACGTATTCCATGCTCTGCCCAACACTGCCAATGCCCTGATTGGCCGAGCTGCCCATATAGCTGTGCTGGATTCTGAACTGTTCCTGGAGAAATTTTTCCTGGTCACAGGACTCAACTACTTCAAATAATGGCTTTAGGGGACTCAATTAGGGCCCTGTGTAATACCCCAAAAAGCAACCAGTGCACTTTTTTCAGTATCATCGAGACCCTTAGCTGAAACATACAGCTTTTTAGACGGGAGGCCCATGGTAAACATTGAAATAGGAGCCCCATTTGCATTTTAGGTGGAAAGTGGAAAGGACAAGGCCATACGGGAATGGTTACAGATGTTGAAGCTGCTCCTATGTCGGTTTTGGAAAGCCAAGCAAACCATCATTTACCAAATTGTAGGTTATCATTTGCCTGGTGACCTGAAGTCACATTCCAAATACTTCACAAGAATAAGAAGAAAAATAAACAAGTGTTGGGAGAGAGGTGATGGGACCAGTGTCATAATCTTAATAGCATAGAACAATGGCTTCCTCCCCTGTTTAACTCAATTTGTCCAAAGCATTACCAGCTTGAGTGTTTGTCAGTTGACATAAGTTCATAGAAACATTTCAGAACTCAGGTTAAAACCTCTTTTTGTGTGTGTAGAACTGGAGATTATTTATGTGCAAAGAATCCTTTATAAATTCTTTTGTGCCATCTCTGTTTAAAAAAAAAATGTGATTTCCATTCCATTCATTCCTTTTCATACATGGTTAAAGGGGTATTCTTAAAAAAACAAACAAACAAAAAAAACACTTTTTTTTGGTGGGGATGGGAACATGAGGGAGGGTAGGGAATAAGGTAGTTCATCATTGATCCTAAGTATCCTGCAAGTAAAAATACCCATGAAGAGGAGTATATCAGGCCAGTTGGTCCAGGTACCTTTTTTCTGGATCCCTACTTAAGTTGCTGGTCTAAATCATACTTTTGTCATTGGTGATGTTTACATCTTTGTTTTCAGTCAGGGATATTTACTTACAAGAAATTGGAATCACTATACTCAAAGTAGAGCCTACTATACATTGGTTGGATGGCACTATTGGAATCATCCAAAGAAATGCCAACTTACCACCTAATGCTACTGGGAAGAAATGAAAAAAAAAAAAGGGAAGGACCATTAAAATGGCCAACTGCTCCTCCTTCATAAAGGAACAAAAGCATCCAAATTGAGGGATGAAGAATTGAAATCTTAACCCAATTACAATGAGCATACCCTACAGCGTCATCTTGCCTTCAGAAAAGTACTAAAAACTCAGATGACAACAGATAAGGAGATGGCAAAGTGACAAGATGAGTTCAGAGCAGACAGCAATGCACTGGGTCTCAGAAGACCCCGATTCAAGTCTTAATTCTACTACTTATTAGCTGGATGATCATAGGCAAGTCACTCAACCTCTATGAGCTTTAGCTTCCTTATCTTTCAAATAAGGACTTTTGACTAGAATGGCTTGAAGCTCCTTGCCAGCTCAAAAACACTTTGAGGACAGGGGTCATTTCAACAAGAAAGGAAATTTCAAACATCATTGGTTTGGTCTTTCTCCCAGTAAAGAACTGAGAATACTGAATGCTGGCTAAATGTGTGGCTTTAAAATAGAGTTAAATGGAAGTAATTAAAAGCCCATGACAGAGGATATTTCTTATGGAAGCCGATGGAGATCAAAGGCTTCCAGCTCTTACCCTGAAAGAATTCCATTCATTAAAAGTGGAAACACACCTTCAAGAAAAATTCAGTGAGACTGGGCTCCAAGTACCTATGCTACAAAACTCTGGGACATTGTTTTAGTGTAGAGATGATTCTTCCCTGTGACTTGTATTCCATTAAGCCCATAGCAGTGAGTTGTTACCAAAAGGTAAATCATAGAATCATAGAATGTTAGAGCTTGAAGTAACAGTAGAAAATAGAATGTTAAAACTGAAAAGATCTTGAGTGTGAAGATTGCTACAGATTAAAGGGTCCTTAGAATTTAGAATGTCAATATATAAAAACCTTCAGGAGCATGTGTTCCAGTCCTTTGATTTGAGAGATGAAGAAACTGAGGCCCAATAAAGGTTAGTGACTCATCCAAGTATGCACAGATAGTAAATGCTAGAGCCAGAACTGGAGCCAAGTTCCTTCGAATCAACTCCTGGCTCTTGTCTAAAGTTGATTACAAGCAGTCATCTCCCTAGTGATGATATACAATCTCTGACTTTCTTTCTTTTTAGAAGAAAATGATACCTATGAGGGCCCATGGAGTCATACATCTCTCTGAATGTCCAGCACTATGGATCTTATGATGCATGTTCACCCAGGAGAAAGGCTCACAATTTATAACAATGTCCTCATCTTGGCCAAATGCATCCATTCCCATGAACACATCAGTCTTGCCATTGCATGTCTATGAACCTGTCTGTGATATGTGTCAATGTGTGATCATTTGAAGGCCCTCAGAGCCATTGGCTATAAAGCCAAGATGAATCCAACAAATATTGTCCATTTAAATAACCAGATTTTTTTTAAAAAAAATATCCAATGTGCTGCCTAAACCAACTGATAAAAATACTGGCAATAATAAATAGTTCAGCAATGCAATGATTTGAGATCCCCCAGTGCCTCTTTTTCACTGGGGTAGCTGTCTTTGTTGTAAAGACATTATTATTATAAAGTCCAACTGATTTATGAGTTTATATTACTTTCATGTAGAAAATACATGCTAATCTCATAAATAATAGTATGTGTATTGTCAGACTTCTAGGAACTCAAGGTAGCCTCATTTGGAAAGACTTTGTCATATATATATAAATATTTTATATTCATACACACAGATAATTATATACATATAGACACACCAACATGTGTGCTCATATACATATATGTATAAATATATAAATGTATCTATGCTATACATATACATACAGACGTGTATATATATATATATATATATATATATATATATTCTAATTTGATAAAAATGGAAGAAGCCCTGGATTTGAAGGCAGACTGACTTTGAATCTTGGCCCTGCTGGTTTTGACTAGCAGAACTGGTTCAGAAAATCAGTTCACCTCTCTTGGCCTCTGTTTCCTCATATGTAATATGACAGAGATAACCTAATTAGGGCTTAATGTTACTGTCAGTACTAAATCTCATGATTTTATATATGTTGATTTGAAGTAGATAATCCATGAATATGGGTCCTATCTTTAAAATGAGATCTCTTGAAAAGGGAAATAAAAAACAACTCTGTGTGTGTGTGTGTGTGTGTGTGTATGTGTGTGTGAGAGAGAGAGAGAGAGAGAAAGAGACAGAAAGACAGAGAGAGAGAGATGAACATCTTGTTAGAAAACCAACCTTGACTGTAGGCTATCCTAAAGTTTTAACCCATCCATTTGGGGGAAGAGGTGTGACCTATATTTTATATTTGATCCTTTAACGGTGTATATATGCAGGTGTGTATGCAGATATATGCGTAACAGATAGAAACTGAGAAATAGAAATAGCAAAATAAACCTATACTATCAATATAGAAAATGTATGAACCAAATATCTGCCAAGATAAGGGCCTAGTTTCTTCTTTAGAAAGGTAGTATATCATAGTGTCTAAAAGGCAGAATTTGTACTCAGGAACACGTAGGTTCAAGGCCAGCCCCTGTTAACATGTACAAGTCAACTTAATCTCTCAGTGATCAAAAATTTGGACTTAGAGATGGGTATATATGTACATATACATATACATATACATACGTGTGTGTGTGTGTGTGTGTGTGTGTGTGGAGAGAGAGAGAGAAGAACATCTAATACTGTTTTGTTTTGTTTTAAATGTCTACTGTTAGTGAAAATAGAGATTAGTTTTACTGATAGTAACTGGAGTTATTATTGATCAAATTATAGACAGATGAAATAACATATCTACATAGCTACAGATCTTTGCAGCTATTAGCTAGAAATTTTCAAGAATTGTACTGGAGGTGGAGACATAAGATGACTTGTATTTAAACTTTTTTTTTTTGACTGACTAAAAGAAACAGAATCAATTTTTTTTTTGGTTGATAGTCCTGTACACAATTCACTTAGGTTCTCATTGATTCTGGAAACTCATTAGGTGATAAAACAATAGAATTTAGCTTTCAGAGTAAATTTATAGTTTATCAAGTACAGCACCCAGGACAGCTAGTTAGTGCAGTGTATCCAAGCCTGGAGTCAAAATGATTCTTCTTCCTGAGTTCAAATCTGACCTCAGAAACTTATTAGCTGTGTAACCCTGAAAAAGTCACTTGACTCCATCTACCTCAGTTTCCTCATCTCTAAAATGAGCTGGAGAGGGAAATGGTAAACCACTCCAGTATCTTTGCCAAGAAAACCCCAAGTGGAGTCATGAGGAGTCAGACATGACTGCAAAATGACTGAATGACAATAGTACAACACTTTCATTTTAAAGATGAAAAAATCTGAGAACCAAAAAAAGGCGATGGTGGCTTGCCCAAACTCTGGAGACCTAAAGTCCAGAGCTATATATTCCTACTTTTCACCTGGAAATATTCACACTATGAGGATTATTATTCAATAAACATTTAAGTACTTACTGTGAATAAGACACAAGAATAATTTAATTTTAGAGATGGAAGGGACCTTCCAACATGTTTGAAAATAGAACATAGAATGATAGAGTTGAAAGAGACAATAAGGATTATCTAGTCCAATGTTCTTATTATACAGATGCAGAAATTGGGGTTCAGGTATGGGAAGTCAATCTGTCATACCATGAGTTAGTTGCAGAGCCAGGATTAAAATCAATTTCTCCTGATTATCAGATTTCTGCTCTTTTCTTCTTTTGCAATGCTGCACCACACAATACTGATCTTCTTTTTAACAGACTACAGTTTATTTACCTAAATGATTTTTCCTTTTCAAACTAGTCCCCTTCATAATTAGTTCCCTAAGCGAAAGTATACACTTATTCCAATAAGGCCAATGATGACTACTTTGGGTCTTGAGACCCAAATGGTGAGATACACAAGAAATAAGTCTTATTAACCTTTATAGTATGACCCGATATTGAAGAAAAAGTACCATTTCTATATTTGGTCACCCATACACTTATTTTTTGCCTCATTTCAAAAATGATAACACAATGGCCTTGTTTGGGTCAATTTGAGAAGGGATTTGAGAAATCATATAGACCAGGAGGCCCTAACCTGGTTTTGGGGGTCCTAACCAACTATCCAAGGATACATTTCAAGGGATCTATGAACTTCAACAGGTAAAAATAACTCTTGATTTTCATTGTAATCCTGTGTATTTTATTTTAAAATTAAAAAAAAACATTAAAATTATTCTGAAAGGGGATCCATAGGCTTCACTGGGCTGCCAAAGGAGGGTCTGTTGCTTCTAATCTAGTTCATCTGTTTTACAGGTGAACCGACCAAGGCCAGATAAATGCAATGACTTGTCCACATATACACAGAGCACCTGTGATTCATACAAAATATCCTGGTCCTAGGTCTAACACTCCTTCCATTATACTGCATTTCCTTCTTCTGGAAACAAAGGATGAAGATTTTCTCACAAATGAAAGAATAAAAACAATATGCTACAACCTCTGTAAAGACAGTTGCAGTCATGTACTGAATACTAGGTGGCAGA